CTCCTAATAGTGCTTTTTAATTGTTTTTAACAAAACAGTCTTTATTTTTTAGAGCAGTTTTAGTTCCACAGGAAAACTGAGCAGAAGATATAGATTTCTTGTACACTTCCTGCTCCACATATGCACTTCCTGTACTATCAACTATCCCTTGACAGAATGTCACATTTGTTACAATCAATGAACCTACATTGACACATCGTCATTATCCCAAGTCCATAGTTAATAATAGACTTCATTCTTGGTGTTGTACATTCTATGGGTTTTGACAAATATATAATGTTATGCATCCACCTCAATGTCATCTATTGATCAAAAAATTTCTTAATGCGATTCATGTTATCAACTCTTTCCTCCAAGGATGAGTGCTTTTAGTTTCTTTTTCAGATGTCCTTACCTAGCCAAAATTAATGAATACACTGTCTTGTGTTATCTTTTAGAAGCTTTTTTAAAATCTCTGAAAGCTCTTTCAACTACAGTTGAATTATTGTGCATGGTATGAAGAAAGGTACAAAATTCATATTATTAATATTAGCATATTTAGTTGATATAGCACTATTTATTGAAAGATCATGACTTGTGTAGTGCCACATTGGGTGTAAATTAAGCAGTGTATGTATATATATATATATATATATATATATATATATATATATATATACATTTATATATATATCCTTGCCAATCCACTTATTTTAATAGTTTATCTGTAGTTTTAGGTGCACAAATGTGTAGTCTTTCCTAATATTTATGTATTTTATTTATTTTTCTTGCATTATTTCTCTGGCCAGGACTTCAATTGTAATGTTGAACAGAAGTGGCGATTATGGGCATCTCTTTCTGTAATGCCAGATTTTCTTGGGGAAATCATACAATAGTTCACTGTTAAGGAAGATTTTATGTAGATTGTGTATGCATGTATATTTGTATCATTTATCAGATAAGTACTCTTATTTCAAATTTGTTAAGACTATTTTGAAATCACGAATGGATTTTGAATTTTATCCAATTTTTTGTGTCCACTTAATTAATCATTGTTTAATTCCAGCTTAACTGTTTTGCAGCAGGGAACCAGGATTTCAGTCCTTTGAAGTTTGTTGAGACTTGTTTTATGGCTTATCATATACCCAATCATAGTAAATATTGCTTATGCTATACAAAATGACATGTCCTGCAATTTTGGGCTGCAGAATTCTACATGTTGTAATTAAATCAAGTCTATTAAGTATATTGTTTAAATCTACATCCTGGTTACTTTTCTGTCTGCTAGGTCTATCACTTGTTCTAAGAGTTGAACTGAAACCTCCTAATAAGATTGTGGATTTATTTGTATCTCTCTTAGCACTATGGATTTTTACTTTACACATTTTGAAGCTGTCATTCAGTATGCATAAATTTAGAATTATTATTATATCTTGATAAGTCATTCCTTTCATTTTTCTGAAATGTTTCTCTTTATCTCTAATAAGGATTACTTTCTCAAACTCTTCTTTGGTATTATGGTAGGTCAACTTTCTTTTGGTTAGTATTTGGTTTATATTCCCTTTTTTAAATGTAAACCTTTCTGTTTCTTCACATAAAATTTGTTTCTTGGAAGATGCAATATAGTTGTTTTTTTTTTATTCAGCCAGAAAATCTTTGAGTAGCATATTACTTAATCTGCTTGCATTAATTTAATTACTAATGCATTTTGGCTTAGATCTATCATCTCTTTATTTTCAATTTATGTTTCCTTTTTATGTTATTTTCTTCTTTGCTTTTTATGCCTCTACCTGAATTAGTCAATTATTTTCAATATTTAGTTTTCCTTCCCTCAGTTTGTCATTTCTTAATTTTATTTCTTTAAGTGGTTACTCTGGACAGTACATCCATGCACTACATCCTGGAATTTGTAAAATCATAGATAAACTTATACTTTTATTATTATAAAGATGGTGCAATGTGCAAAAAGCACTCACCTCTATTGGCCCCTATGTCTTTTATTTATTGTTGTCAGGTGCTATTATTGTCTTATGCAAGAATAATTCATATACATTCATCACCATATTTATCTTTACTATGACATTTATATTTTCCTAAGTCTGTGCTTTCACCGAGCCATTTTCTTTCTGCCTGTCTGAAGATCAACTTTTAGTGTCTTCATTGTTGAGGTTCTTTTGGTAGCAAATTCTCTAGTTTTAGTTTCTGAAAATGAATTTATTTGCTTTTGTATCGAAAGGATATTCTTGTCCAGTGCATATTTCTTGGTTAGCAGTTTTATTTCCTAGCAACCCTTTGAGGCTACCATTCTGTTGCCCTATTGCTTTCATCATTTCAACAAAAGAGCCAACTATCATTTGATTATTGTTTCATTGAAAATGTTGGCATTTTTTCTGTTTACTATTAGTCTTGTCTTTATTTTTTTATTGTAAGAAGTTTTACCATGATATACACCTCTCTCTCTCTGCGTATGCATGTGTCTGGTGTTTATTGAAATCTGATTTTTTAATTTGGAGAATGCTCAGTAATGATTTCTTCAAATATTTTTGCCCTATCTTCTCTTTCCTATTCTTTTGGGACTCTAATTATATATAGATTAGATTTTTCCCCATGATTCTGCATCTCATATCCTTTTAAAAATATTTTAAAAATTCTTTTTTTCAATTTAATATAGTTGTTTTCTTTGGATTTAGCTTCCAGTTTACTAATTCTGTTTTCCGCTATTAAACTTCATTGCAGAGTTACTAAAATTCAGTTACTGCTTTTTCCAGTTCTAAAAATTCAATTTCAATTTCCTTCTTGAAGGAAAATCCCGAAAATTTTCATCTCAATTCCAAAACATGTTCATCACAATTGTTTTAAAGTTCAACTCTGATAATTCTAATGTCAGGCTTTCCTATGAGTCTGCTTCTATTACAGACTCATTGTTTTTCTTAGTTTTAGGGCGTTGTCTCAGTATTCCTAACTGCTTTGATTAAATCCTGGCATTTCTGTATGAAAAATTGTAGAGATGATTTGAGACCCTGAATTATATGATCTTTCCTCAGAGATGATTTACTTTTTATTCTGACAGGCAAGAAAAGTAGGGATAGATCACCACAGTGCAGTTATAGATTGAGCAGCTGTAAAACAGGGCTTTAGTCTTTTTGAGGACAGGGTTATCACCAGTTAAAATTAGCCTTTATTACTTTCAGCAGGTTGGGCCTGAATTCCAACATTTATCCCTCTAGTGTCATGATACTTTTAGAAATTTTGACAACTTCTTAACTCATCTTCTAGCATATGCTAAATTATTTATAGTTTTATGAGAGTTTATAATTGGTAACTGCTTAAGAAGAGCACCGAATGCTCACCTCACCTCATCCTTTTAAACTTCCCTTTCCCTGGGTTACTAGCTCCTCAATTCCTCACTGCTTGGGAATTTTCCATTGCGTGAAGGGATTTTTTTTTTTTGGTTCAACTTTTCTGGTTATTCTTGGTGGAAGGGGTTGATTAGCTACAAGCTAGTCCTCCATCCCCAGAAGAAAATTGATAAGAAAATCTTTTGGATATAAACTATTTTGAATTCAAAATATCACTTTCTGATTAAAATGGAGAAGATAGACCCAAAGGAAAAAATACAAACAATTATTTTCGACTCATAGTGGTATTTTATATCATATTATTGTTGTACTGGGGTACGTTGTGGCATTTACAAAAGTTCTTACAATAACCCCCTCCATCATTTTCCTTCACCTCCCCTTCTCCTATTCCTGGAATAGTTTCAACAGGTCTCATTTTTCCGTTTTCATACATGTGTACATAATATTTCCACATATTCACCTCCTACACCCGTTCCTTATGTTCTCCCCCCTTCGACTGGTACCAACCCCCAGGCAGAAACTATTTCACCTTCCTGTTCTCAGTTTTTGAAAAAGAGGCATTTTTGTTTGACTCTAGTGGTATTTTAAAATTTGACAATTATAAGAGGAATTAAAAAACTAGTTTTCTAAAGCTAGTATTAGAGAAACATTCTTTTTTTCTGATTTCTAACTTGAAAATATTTGGGTGAACTTAATACACTATTAGAAAAATATGCCAATTCTTAGCTTGAATGAGCTGAGATTTTTCCTTATTAGGATTAATGTTTAAAAGATGATTAATATTGTTAGTAAATTGATCACTATTTCACGGTTCATTAGTTAGAGTCACTAAAAATTAATACAAGTAACTATAAATGGCAATTTTTACTTGCATTACTAAAGAAAATTTAGCAATTAGATTTTAACCTTTTGAGGATTTGCCAGTAAGTGTCAGAAGGCAACCAATGTGATTTACCTGTTACTTTTTAATTTTTTTTAAAGTTTGTGAAAAACTATTTTATTTACAAAAATGGCACAAAAGTGAAGGTAGCCATCAATGCACATGCATACTTCATTCACAACTTTAACAATGAAAGGAATTCTAACACTACAGAACTGAGTAAGATGCTAGCTTCAACAATAGCTGTTAGCACTGAAGTCACATAAGTTACACCAGAATGGACAGATATTGCCCAAGTAAAATTCTGTTGTTAAAGCTGAAGGAGGTTTGAGATCATTCAAGTTCAAGCACAGTTAATCAAATCTTTTGGAACCCCATCTACTTGTGTCTGAATTATGTGATTTTTCTTCCAACTTGTGATCTTAAACTTGTTTTTAAAAATCCAAAAGGAAAATTCAGAAGAAACCAATACAACACAGATTATATTAAATAGGAGTAACATACAAAGCTGCAATTAAGATGAAGTAAGGAAAACCAAACCAGTAAAATTGTAAAACTTGTTGGCTACTTGTTGGAACAAGTCCTACACTAGGAGTTAGGTAACATATACAGTTATTTTCAAATTGATTACTTATTTTGCTTTAACATGTCCTTTTCATCAGTGCACTGTTAAACTAATCAAAAACTCTACACATGTATATTTCCTTAAAATAGCAGCACACACTATTGCTATCTGCAAAGCTGTCAGTCTCAAATGACTTAGTGAAGGAAAGGAAATAAAAAGTGGATATGTAACATATTAAGGAGAAATAACGGGAACTAGAAGACTCATGCAGTTCATCACTTTTCATCCCTCAGCCAGCTTGCTAACAAGGAGAAATGGTTTCTGTTGAGGAAGGTCCTATGGAGTGGGAATGTGGTCACCAATGACCTCGGTCTTATCCTGGACTGCAGTAGGAAGTTGCTTGTTCTTTTTTTTCTTTTTTTTTTTTAATTATTCATATGTGCATACAAGGCTTGGGTTATTTCTCCCCCCTGCCCCCACCCCCTCCCTTACCACCCACTCTGCCCCCTCCCTCTCCCCCCCTCAATACCCAGCAGAAACTATTTTGCCCTTATTTCTAATTTTGTTGTAGAGAGAATATAAGCAATAATAGGAAGGAACAAGGGTTTTTGCTGGTTGAGATAAGGATAGCTATACAGGGCATTGACTCACATTGATTTCCTGTGCGTGGGTGTTACCTTCTAGGTTAATTCTTTTTGATCTAACCTTTTCTCTAGTTCCTGTTCCCCTTTTCCTATTGGCCTCAGTTGCTTTGAGGTATCTGCTTTAGTTTCTCTGCGTTAAGGGCAACAAATGCTAGCTAGTTTTTTAGGTGTCTTACCTATCCTCACCCCTTCCTTGTGTGCTCTCGCTTTTATCATGTGCTCATAGTCCAATCCCATTGTTGTGTTTGCCCTAGGTCTAATGTGTGTGTTTGTTTTAGCCATGTTATAATCCCCAGAATAAAAATATTTTTTCCCTTTCTGCAGTCGTTTCCTTAAAAAATCCGAACCGTCAGGCTTTTGTCCCAGGTGAGGATACCTTGTTTTCAATTTTGCTTCTTCAGCTTTCTCTGGACTAGTCACTTTATCTTGCATTTCCTTCTGCTCTTCTGCTGAGGCCACCTGGGGACTTCTGCAGGCATGGTGCTCCCTCTGCCTAAGCATGCGCCTCTCTACCTGTTACTTTCATGATGAATGACTTCAACAGACATGCAGTGCTTTGCACAATTTGGAGTAGAAACTTTGGACAGTAGAGGGTGCAGTTGTACCTTTAGTTCTGTGTTTTAGCCGTTAGAAATTAGTATTTAATGGATATGAAGAAAATCTGAGGAATGTACTATTTGCTGAAGCTGTATACTATTTATGGAAGTATATTTAAAAATGAGTCATATAAATAAGAAGTATGAATTTTATAATCATGCAATGCTTTGCTTAACCTTTTACTTTTAAGAAATGACAAATTTGAATCTTATTTAGAAACTACTTTCTAAAAGTACTACTTTTAACTGAATGAAATAAAAGTTATATTTTCTCAATATAGAAATATGTATTTCTATATATGAAGACATTTTTATTTTACAGAACTTAATTACTGCTAATCATATCTATTTTTCCTCTTTGGAAAGGCTGCTTCCAGAAGGAGAATGTATATTGATAAATGCATCAGGAGACTCTGATTTGTAGGAGGATAAAATATAATTAGAAACCACTAGAGATAAATGATACAGTGCCAAGTGAGTTCTTACATTCAAATGTTTATTAATGCTCAGGTTTTGTTGAAGATCTAGAAGTTTCTTGCATTTGCAAATCAGAAACTCAGATTTTCACTGAGACTCTAATGCAGCACTGTGCAGTTGTGGTTTGGAGCTTCATGTGTGCAAAGCCTTGAGTCTTTTGATTGTCTTTCAGAGATAAGGGTCTCTTCTATTTTTGGGGGGTCTCTTCTATTTTTTTTCCTAGGAGATTCTTGGGCTTAGGTTTGTTTTCTCTTTTCTTTTCCTTTTGGCAGTACTAGGGCTGAACTCAGGGCTTGGTAGTCAAGCTCTCTAACCATTTAAGTTATACCCCCAGGCTATGCTCTTCTTTGAAGATTGACACAAAACATATATTCTAGTGTAATAATCTTGAATTTCGGAAGGCTTCTTGCTGACTGTTTTTTGAAATTAACAGAAAACATCTACCTAAGAATTATTCCTCTTTTGCATTAACAAACCATATATTCCTTTCTTTTGACTTACTTGGCAAGCTTTTTAACACAGCATTAGGACTTCATAATTATTGCTAATCCCAAAGGTTAGCACGTCAATATTCAGTTGATGTGGCATTAAGCTTATGATTTTTTTTGAGGGACCTACTCTGACATTCTGTAGAGAGAGAGAGAGAGAGAGAGGAAATGGAAAAGGGAGATAAGTCTATCTAGTTTAAGCACAGAGTTAGTGAATTGAAAGTATTTGGGGAAACAAATGTGTTCTTTGTGCATGAACTTACTTTGAATTTTGTCTCAGTCTGAACTTCCCAGGCTACTCTAAGTGAAGTGATTAGGTAGAGCACATGCATTCATTAATAATCACTGAAGTGAAATGTCTTAGATGAAAGCATCTGCTTCCAAAATAGATGGGTAGTTTTCTAAAACATGTACATATGAAGGACTACTCAAAAAGACCAACTTCTAGTCACCTTTTGAAGAAGCAGCTGAACCTGTAGAAGAAACAAGGAAGAAATTGCAGAATGACTCATGCTACAGACAGTGGCAGCAGATCTTGAAGACAATACTTTCATAAGCCTAAAAGTAACGGAGAATTCAATGTTTTGGTCATCTAAAAGTGCATTAAGAGTTGATTGTCTTGCTGTAATTTGAAGTGGTTGGGTATCAAGAAGAAAAACTTTGATCTCAGACAGACAAATATGTTTTTCAAAGAGCAATGTCTGTTTTTGTATTTTCTGAAAAAGAAAAGCATGTTTTAAAACTAATTTTCTGGTATAGTTGCCTTATTACATACAGAAAACCTTAAACTGAGCCTCTCATATATTCCATTTATTATATATTACATACCACTATTTACATACAACAGAAAAACTGTCCCTTTACCTCTCTTTCTTGGTCAGAGAGGTGTGTTGTGGATACAAAATAAATATTGGTTGACTTCACTTACTGATTCCTACCTTTATTCTCTCAGTGCAATTAATAAATATTTAATGAGGGTCTTCTTGTGCTAGATATTGGTGGACCAAGTAGATATAGGTCTTGGTTTTCTTGGAATTTATAGCCTACTGTGGGGAGATATCTATTTCAGCAAATATCCTTGAAAATAATATGCAATTATAAATCATGTCAAATATCATAGGATGGTTCAGAAAGATTATCAGAGGAAGGAATATCTAAGGGGAGGGCTGAAGAATGGAATCATCGTGTTATTGACTCAAAAGATGGGGTGTGAAGCTAGTTAAGGAAATTAAGAAGAAGATTTTACATGTCAAAAGAGAATGGCCATTAGAATAGTTCTAGAATGTTAAAGTGAAGTTGCTTGGAGACTGAGGAACTAAAAGGTCACTATAACACTTATCTATTTAATTTTTACACAATTGCTCACCTAATTTTAATCCTATTAAAATTTTCCCTTGAACATATTTCCAGTGTGAGCCACAGTCCTGTAGCACAGCCTAATTTTAAAGAGAGGAAATGTGATTATGGGTTGAAAGGCAATGCTAGTCCTTCCTGTAGGCACAAATTTGTCATATGCTCCTAGTTTTCTGTCATGTCATTGGCTGTGGTCACAAGCTGGGCAAATTGTGGTTTTAAGGGGGAGACTCTGGTGCTGTGTTCTCATCTCAGAACTGCTGTGCATGTAGAAACCTCATTTCACAAATGAGGAAAACGCTTACAGCGTTTGTTTAATAAGTTGTCTAATTTACCTTTAAACAATTAAATGGTATGAATACTCAGGTTCAACAAACTTAAAATCCAGCTTTGTAAAACAATTACATATATTTACTATTAACATTTCATATTGTGCATATATTTATTTTGGAGATTCATAAGCCATAATTCACTGGAAAATGCAAAGTACTGAGAAAAAAGAAAGCAACTTCTTGACTGTAACTCATTGTCTCCCAAACATTTTTGACCATTTGAAAATCAGGTAAATATGTTAATAATTGGTTTTGTGGGTTGAATGTTCATTAAATGAACAAATGTTTAGAATCTCAAAATAATAATTATTTGTAAAAAAAAGTCGTGATAAATTTTTAAAAATGCTATTTTTCATGCATATTTAAATACAGCTTTACTGTCTTCCTTTTTTCATAAATTTTATAGAAGTTCACATTAAGAAAATATTGAATGAATGTCATTTTAGTATATTTTAAAGTAGATCAGTCATAAGGTTTCAGAAAATCAAACAAGTGTCATCATTTGAATTTTGAGAGTTCTACAAATTTGTTTTTTCTTGATAATGATTGTCTTTTGGGGGAGTGACTGTATTTTGGGGGAGGGACTGTACTGGGGTATGAACTCAGAGTCTTGAACTTGGTGGGCAGGCGCTCTACTACTAGAGTTGTGCCTCTAGCCTTTTGTTGCCTTAGTTATTTTTTAAGATAGGGTCTTGTGTTTTATGCCTGGACTGCAGTCCTATTTATTCTTCCCCAGTAGCTGTGATGACAGGAACACACCACTATGCCCAGCTCTTATTGGTTGATATGGGATTTCTCCAACTTTTTGCTTGGGCCAGCTTTGAAACATGAACCTCCTGGTCTCTACCTCCCAAGGAGCTGGGATTACAGATAAAAGCCATTATGTTTGGCCTTCAAAGACCTTTTAATACATTTTGTTCTCTGAAGCAAATTGAAGTAGTTTGAATTGGCTTTAACAACTACTATTTACTAAGAGATATGAGGTAATATTTTCATGTGAATCAAATCATGCTTCTTTGTGTAAGTAATGACAGATAGATCAAATAAAACAATAGGACAGCTTTAAGAAAACCATTGACAATTGGCAGACTTAGGTTCTAAATCTGCCTCTGTCTTGGGTGAGTTGTTTAATTTCTGTGACCTTTAGGTTTCATTAGACTTCAAATCAGGACATTGAGTTAAATAATTCCTATGATCTAGTTTTGATCAAAAATTTTATGTATATATGTATATGTATATATATATATCAAGGACACTTGCTTTTTTTTTCAGGAGGTGGGGAAGGGTGAGTATCAAATCACTACAAATGCTGCTGTCAGCTCTTTAATTCACTGTTTGTATGTGTGTGTGAATTTGAGAGATATATAAAGTAACCAAATGAAATAATAGAATGAATGTGGAAATACTGTTAGGTTAAGTAAGTTTCAGTGTAACTGCTGATAGAATGTTAATTGCTGGGGAATTATGAAGGGTCTGACTAGTGGAAACTGGAAAGTGAAAATAAAACAATTTTCACCACATTCTCTATGTTCCCAACAGCAGCAATTGCTTTTAACATTCTATGAATAAAGTGTTTTGTCACTTTTTCCACTTAAAATTGGTAGGCAGCACAGATAGTTTTCTAAGGAAGATAGAATTTTGGCTGTGTTTTACTCTATGGAAAACTTAGATGAATTTTCCATAATAATTTCCTAAATTAACTGATCTTTGAGTGAAAACATTCTTACATAACATTACTACTCAAGACAGACACTGAATATTCTGCTCTAATACCAAAAAAGTTTAAGTCCCTATTTTATGTTTTTATGAGGCACTGAAACTAGGTAAGACGTTATGTATTACACTTTTGGGTAATTTCATTTTATATAGATGTTTACACATTTTCCTTTTAAGTTTATATCTGAACTACTAATATTTAAAGTATTCTTTACCTATCAGCTTAAGTGCTTGTGCTTTGAAGAAATGAATTTTTAAGAGTTCAATCTAGACCAGCAAGGAATTACTAAATCATTTCTAAATATCTACATTGGGGAAGGTGACTGATACTTTTATAGTTGGTTAAAATGCATACCAAATATGAGCATCTCATGGGCCTTTTATGTTGGTGATTCTACCCTTGTTCCAAGAGTAATGTTTTCATAAATGTCAGGCAATACATCTTGGTCCTGGAATGATATCAATTTGTTTTCCAGGTCTACTACTTCATTTCAGTAGAAAGGTAAATTTG